CACTCCACCCCTCCCCTCTCCTCCTCACCCCTTCCCTTCCCCTCTTCCCCACCTCACCCCTCCACTTCCTCCGCCCACTTGGCTCCCAATCCTCCCCACCCAGGTGCAGGCTAGGCTCTGGGGGCTGCGCTGGGGGTCCCCGCCCAAATACAGTTCTCAAGCACTATGTTTATATAGCAATCTGCCATATTTATAAAGCAGGACTCATGGGCAGAAATGTCTCATCTGTCAAAAGCATGGCCATGCCCATAAGTATATCTATTATATCAATTATTTGGAGTAGATTAGAATCTTTCTCCATAAATGTTCATCAACTTAAAAGCAGGGTCAGGCCTAATGTAAAATGGAGGCGTGGATGACTGTCTTTAAAACCCTGCCCTTTCTGTTGCCCTCCACCAGGAATCTAGTGATTTGATTGCGGGGCGTTTTTCATTTGACATCTCACCTAGACAATGTTTCTGTCCATGACCTTCCCTGCATTCATTCAACAAATATTTATTGAGCACCTACCCCGTGTTGTCAGGCAATGCTCCAGGTAGGTATTTGGGTTATATCAGTGAAGCAAACAGAGATTCCTGGCCCCAGGAAGCTTCCATTCTGGAAGGGAAACAGAAAAGCAATAATGTAATAAAGTAAATTCCATAGGCCATCAGCAGATAGCATGGCTCTGGGCAAAGCAAAGCAGGGAGCGAGGATGTGGGAGGTGTAGGGGGAGGACTGTATTCTCAAAGAGAGGCCAAGACCGCCACCCAAGAAGCTGGCTTCTAGGAAAAGAGGTCAGCCTCGGGGAAGTTTGGAGGAGAGCTCCAAGAAGGAAAAGGCCAGCGCCTGCAGGGTGTAGGGTCAGGACATGCCTGGTGCGTTTGAGGAACTGCACAGAAGCCACTGTGACTAAAGTGCAGTGAACAGGGGAGGAACAGGAGAAGAAGTAGGGGGGAAACAGGCTGCTTGAGGAGTGGGGACCCTGGGAGGCACCGGGAAGCTTAAGTTTTTAATCAGTTTTAACTCTCATTTCACAAAGTTCCAAGATCTTTTAAGGCTTAGAGCTGATGAAACTGGTGATATATTTTATTCATGCATTTAATCTTTATCCATTCACTTAACAAATATTATTTATAGAGGTCACAATACTATGAAGCAGGATAGGCCTAACTTACGGGATATGAAGAACCTAACAGTAAGCAAAAGGAGACATAATCCCTGGCCTCAGGGAGTTTATGATCTACTGAAGAAGATCCACAGGAATGTGATAGTCACAGAAGTGCTGTGAAGTCAGTGAAGCAGAGGGGCCTGGTGCTGTGGGAGTCTGGAAGAGGGCATTTGACTTAGTCATGAAGGTCAGGGAACGCTGCTGAGAAAGCAGCAATTAAATGCTAAGTGAAAGATAAACAGGCACTAACCAGCAGTCTAGACGTGCTTAGGGGAACAGCAAGTGACAGGCAGAACAGTGACTACAGGAGACTGAAAAAAAGGTGGAGAAGCTGGAGCCCAGAAAGCTGGAGGAATATAACGGGATGTGTCTGGAGAGGTGGGTAAGAAGGTGGAGATTAAATGTGCTGGGGCTCAAAAATCACAATAAACAATTTGTCTTTATCCTAAACCCAGTGGGAAGCCAGTAAAAAAATATTATGTAAGGCAGTGACCTGATCAAATTTAAGTTTTAAAGATCACTAATCCATATTCAATGAGTTTAGATAATTTCTCTAATTTGTTTGCATTTTAGGGAGCCTATAGAGGTAATTCTGAGCCCAGGCAGATCCTGGTGGGAATTGTAAATACTGTAGCAAGCTGATAAGAAAAAATAAGTTGAGTAGGGAAATTATTGAGCAGCCCATAAATTAAGTCAAGGAGTAAAGTAGGATTCTATATATTAAGCTTGTAAAATATGGTTTCTTTAAACTATTTGATGTTAGGGAAAAACAAAAATATTGGTTTAGTATGAATACTGAATCCCTTCTATTTTTTATAAGCATTTTGAGGCCTAACAACATTAAATGACTTTTCCAAGGTCACAGAGAAATTTCATAGCAGTTCATTCAGCATAAATTGCTTTAAAAAAAGTAAAATGCTTTTCACAGTGGCTGCACCAATCTGCATTCCCACCACAGTGCAAGAGGGTTCCCTTTTCTCCACATCTTCACTAACACTTGTTTATTGATTCTGACAGGTATGAGAGGTGATATCTCATTGTGCTTTTAATTTGCATTACTCCGATGATTAGTGATGTTGAACATCTTTTCATATGTCTACCGGCCATATGAATGTTCTTTTTGGAGAAGTGTCTATTCAGGTCCTTTGCTCATTTTTTAAATTGGATGTTTTCTTGGTGTCGAGTCTTATAAGTTCTTTATATATTTTTGAAATTAACCCCTTATCAGATGTATCATTGGCGATATGTTCTCCCATTCAGTGGGTTGTCTTTTCATTTTGTTGGTGGTTTCTTTTGCTGTGCAAAAACTTTTAGTTTGATTCAGTCTCATTTGTTTGTATTTTTTATTGTTTCCCTTGCCCAGGAGATATATCAGAAAAAATATTACTAAAAGAAATGTCTGAGATTTTACTGCCTATGCTTTCTTCTAGGTCTTTTATGGTTTCCAGTCTAACATTTAAGCCTTTAATCCATTTTGAGTTTATTCTTGTGTATGGTGTAAGATGGTGGTCTAGTTTTATTTTTTTTGTACGTATCTGTCCAATTTTCCCAGCAACATTTATTGAATAGGTTGTCTTTACCCCGTTGTATGTTCTTTCCTCCTTTGTCAAATATTAACTGACCACAAATGTGTGGGGGTTTTTTTCTAAGCTCTCTATTCTATTCCGTTGATCTATATGTCTGTTTTTATGCTAGTACCATATTGTTTTGATTACTATAGCCTTGTAGTATAGTTTGCTATCTGGTCCCCTGATTCTTCCAACTTTGTTCTTCTTAAGATTGCTGTGGCTATTCAGGGTCTTTTGTGGGACCTGGAGACTATTATGCCAAGTAAAATAAGCCAGTCAAAGAAAGACAGGTAGCATATGATTTCACTTATATGTGGAATCTAATGAGCAAAATAAACTAACAAATAAATAGAAACAGACTTATAGATACAGAGAATGCACTGAAAGCTGTTAGAGGGGCAGGGGTTTGGGGGGTTGGATGAAAAACATGAAGGAATTAGGCAAAAAAAATAGAAACAACAATATGGTGATTACTATCAGGAAAAGGGGGTGGGGGAGGTAAAATAGGGTAAGGGGGGGATGAAAAGAAACGACTTGGGGTGGTGAACACACAACATAATATACAGATGATGTACTATAGAATTGTGCATCTGAAACTTATATAATGTTACTAACCAATGTCACCCCAATAAATTCAATTTTAAAAAATAATAAAACTTAGATATTTTAAAAGAGAAAACTTTTAAAAGTATAATGGGAAAATTAATTTAAGACCAAACTAGAAGGTGTGGACATCTCAATGAGTCCTAACTCTTTTGTTTTTACTTCTAAACATTATGGAACACTTATGTCCATGCAGCCTTAAAAATCCTGCTGTTTTCTGGGCACAGTTCATAAATCCCAGTCAATAGTTTCATGTGCAATATCTTTCTCACAGTTGTGTATTGAGTCTCCTCAAATTAGTCTTCAGAGGGAAAGCTGTTTGGTGTGTTCCTTTCCCTCATCCTCTGCACTGCCCTCTTCATCCATTACCATTGCCACACACATTTAATTCAGTCAAATATTTACTGAGCATCAACTATATACCAGAGAGTCTGACAAGATGCAAAGATTTAAAAATGGAGTAAAAACAGTCTCTTCAATAAATGGTGTTGGGAAAACTGGACAGGTACATGTAAAAAACTGCAACTAGACCACCAACTTACACCATATACAAGAATAAACGCAAAATGAATAAAAGACTTAAATGTAAGTAGCAAAACCATAAAAATCCTAGTAAAAAACATAGACAGTAAAATCTCAGACATCTCTCAGAGCAATATTTTTTCCAGTATGTCTTTGAGGGCAAGGGAAACACAAGAAAAAATAAATAAATGGGACTACATCAAACTAAAAGGCTTCTGCACAGCAAAAGAAACCATCAACAAAATGAAAAGGGAACCCATTGTGTGGGAGAACATATTCGTCAATGACTCATCTGATAAGGAGTTAATCTCCAAAATATATAAAGAACTTATAAAACTCAACACCTGGAAGACAAACAATCCAATTAAAAAATAGGCAAAGGACCTGAATAGACAATTCTCCAAAGAGGACATACACAGGGCCAATAGACATATGAAAAACTGCTCAAGGTCACTAATGCAAATTAAAACTACAATGAAGTATCACCTCACACCTGTCAGAATGGCTACCATCAATAAATCAACAAACAACAAATGCTAGTAAGGGTGTGGAGAAAAGGGAACCTCAGTGCACTGTTGGTAGGAATGCAGACCTGTGCGCCACTATGGAAAACTATGCAGTTTTCTCAAAAAATTAAAAATGGAACTTCCTTTTGACCCAGCAGTCCCACTTCTGGGTGTATATACTAAGAATCTCGAAACACCAATCAGAAAGAGTCTTTGCACCCCTATGTTCATAGCAGTTTTATTTACAATAGCTAAGATCTGGAAACAGTCCAACTGCCCATCAGTAAATGAGAAGATATAAAAACTGTGATGCATTTATNTTTACAATAGCTAAGATCTGGAAACAGCCCAACTGCCCATCAGTAAATGAGAAGATATAAAAACTGTGATGCATTTACGCAATGGAATACTACAAAGCTGTAAAAAAGAAGGACCTGGAGATTATTATGCTAAGCAAAATAATCCAGCCAGAGAAAGACAAATACCATTTGATCTCACTAATATGTGGAATCTAATGAACAAAATAAACTGACTAACAAAATAGAAACAGAGGCATAGATACATGGAACAGACTGACAAATGTCAGAGGAGAGTGGGGTGGGAAGACTGAATAAAGGAAGGTGAAGAAATTAAATAATATATATGCATAGCCCATGGACACAGACAATAATGTAGTGAGGGCCAAGGGAGGGGGAGTTGGAGCTGAGTGGAGGTAGGCAAAGGAGGGGAAAATGGGGGACATCTGTAATAATGTCAACAATAAAAAAATTTAAAATTTTTTCTACTCTCTAAAAATCCAATGTAGTGAGAGAGACTGGAAGTAAGTGAATTGTTAAAAACAACATCACAGCTTCTCTTTAGAATTGGAACCAGGATGCTGATCAAGATAAATATCACAGCTAATTCTGCCATAGAAGGAAGCCTCACAGAAATGACATAAATGGCCAGTTCTCATGAACTTTGAAGATTTTACTAATCAGACAGAGGTGTAGGGGTTTTTCAAGCAAACAGAACTGCATTTATACAGGGCTACTTCAAACAGTGTGGACAGCTACAACATGGCCTGTGTATAGAGAAGTAAAGTATGAAAAGTCTACAAAAGTAAAGAGGACACACATCCTAGAAGAAATTTTGTGCCATTGTAAGAATTTGGGATTTTCTCCTAAGGGCAATAAGGAAGCCAAGAAAGCTTAACAGATGTAAGATGTAAGCTAAAATAAAGGGAAACTGATAAGATTTGCCTCTTTG